CTTATTTGCTTAAATGGGAGCTGGTTAGCCTTATAATAGGTTGTTGCATAAATAAACATTAGTGAAGAATGTTGTCAGTTTTTTATGATTGAAGTTTTTCAGCTTAACATTTAGTTCTTGAAAGTCCTACAATTGATCAAAACCTTGAATAGTGATTTTGTTTTACATACTATATAATTCAGAGTTGTTATTCTCATTATACACTCTTTTCCTTCTCCACTAGGTGATCTATGGAGTTATGATTTTTTGACGGAGACATACGTAGTCTCTCCGGAACCTGATGTATCTGTTCTGAAAATGGATCCTACTAAACACCGCTGCCTTATCTTAGCTTCTGATGGTTTGTGGAACATGTTGACTCCTGAGGAATCTGTCAACATGGTCATGGACTTAGAGGCACAATTTGAGGATAAAATCATCCATGATCCAGTAAGTAAAATGTCTTTAACAGTTTGACATTTTTAAGTCCAATTGAAGTAATAGTCTGTTAACTTTGTAAAGCACCTGGAGCTTTCTATATGTCTGTTAAGAATACAATTTAATGTTGTTCAAATAAATTCTAAAATTATTTATTTCAAAGTTTTTTTGTTTTTTTTTTCAATTAGAATTAATAAGAATGTCCATCATCATTTATCATTAAAAATATATATGTATAATTGAAATAAAAGAATATTCCGTTGCAGATTAGTTTTGAAAAAATTCATTTTAAACTAAAACATTTTAAATTATCCTCTCTGCATCACAATTTGTGAATTCGAATACACCTGTTTTATAACATTTTTTTTTCATATTTATAATCAAATGAACAGAAAAAGGTTGAAGAAGCCTTTTGATTGGAATTTAAAATAAAGAAGGAATAAAAATGTAGTGGAACTACCAATGAAACAAACTATGCAACTTACTGCTGGGGGGATGCTTAAAAGCAACTCTGTCAGTGCAACTCCTAAGTATGACTAAGATTTAAATTTATTGGCTTAAAAACAATGAAGTAGATAAGGTTATGCATCATAAAGCCAGAAAAATATTATACAAGAAAAGAAAGATTTTCATTCAAGACATACATATATATGTCTTGGAAATAGATTTTTGGGCATCATTTGTTAATTGTACAGTTATTTTGATTTCTAGTTCTTCACTTCTGTTATCCATGGATTAGCTGTGACTGTTTTTTCATAGCACATTTTATCAAAGAGTATTGTAGGATCATGGGACCTGGCTAATGTCTCCTACTCAAATGATTGTAAGCTCTTGTACATTTTTTGTGTGCATATATGGTTTTGTATACTAATATTGTCCACTTTGCATTATTTCAGAATGTAGCTGTCAGTTTCTGGAGTAACCCTGCAGAAAGATTGGTGTCTAGGGCTCTTAATAAATGGAGGTCTAAAGCTTTGAAAGCTGACAACACATCCTGTGTGGTAGTCCTAATAGACCCACTTGGTCCTTCCAAATTAACTCTCTTGAAACGCAAGAGACAAGAGTTGCTGTCAGGAGGGGAGATAACCAACTGTCAATTAATCAAAGTACCAACAGACATGGAAGCAAATCTCAAGACGAGAAACAAAAATGCCAATTGCAGTTTAAGTGATAGCCATGTTCGAGTCACAGATGATTCTATCATACAACCTGCTTCGCGCAATGATCACCATTTTCTCCGCCATTCAATGCCCTTTGGCATGCGATCGAGTTCCAGAGATGACAGTTGCAATGAAAGTATTAACGACAGTGTACAGTATATCCCCAAGCCTACAGTGTTGTGTCATCCGCGGCATGCAAAGCCCTTTGAAATTAATGACAATAAGAAAATGTATCTTAATTCAGGGGGTGACCTTGACATAGAGAAGCCTATTCCCCAGCCTCCTCCCTGTACGCCTTGTTCAGACGTGAAAGAACTAGATGAGAGTGGGGATGAGAACTCTCTTCAGAGCTCGACAGATGTTACTGATAAGGCATTTTCACTGGCATCTGATGAAAGCATTGAGTCTCCAAGTTCATCATTTGATGAAGCTAACCGTCCACCTACTCCACAGAGTGCACCAGCTAAGTTGTCTTCAGCCAGGAATAGAAGATCGCACATTTCTAAAAGTACGCAAAAGAAGCTGGCTAAAAGTGGCAGGCTTTTGCAATATCCACCCAAGTCATCTGACTCGCCGATAAAAATAAGTTTAGCCAAAGCTGAAAATCATAGTAAAAGCACTAGATCATCTGTTAAACAAGCTTCAGGCTCTGTGGGTAAAAATGAAATCACCAGAGCTGCAGAGCGAGCTTATGTTATACCAGCCAAAAACAATACCACAGCAACTTGTGTTGATACTCCTCCTAGGAGGGTGTTAAACACTTCCAAAAGCATGAACGATGTGACCACACCTAGAAATCAAAAGGAAGTGTCTCGGGCTATTTCTTGCACTGGTTTAACCCCAGATATGAACATGCTTTTAACCAATAAAAACCAAACCACTTTAAACAACACTCGTGATGCTTGCACTGGTAGTGATGATCTAACTGGTCAACTCCTTTCCTCTTTGATGGTAGTGAATGTTCGAGGTCCTTCCAGAAACAATGCCAGCCTAATCATAGATGGCCTGGAGGGACCCAGTGAACCCTTGAAACAGCTGAACAAAACAGGGCCCTTGAAAAAGAGTGGCTCGAAGAGATGGGGAAATTTCCTGAGGGCCTCCAAACTGAGCATCGATCACATGTTTAATTTAAATAACAAAAAAGATCATGGTCCTTGCAAGTTAACCAGTACATCAACAGGTAAACTAGAGCGGAGTATATCCAAGGTTGTTACTAGCAAAACTAGCTCAATGTCTACGTCCAAACTATCAGAGTATGCTCACCTCCCAGATATCACTGTTAGTCATTTAGCTGACTTGACTGTTGATGCTTCCACCCTCACTGCTGCAGACTATACCACCTTGTCTGCCCTCTCTGAAGATGACAGTGTTTTGTCTGTCACGGACTTGACTACTGCTCATCAAAGTATGCTGGAGGATGGCGTGCAGGGAAAGGTTCTTAAACACAGAAAAGGATTCCTTCAGAAAACAAGAGTTACACTTCGTCGTGCTCGCAAGGCAGCAAAGAAAGCGTTCTTTCCAGAGAATCACAGGCTCTTCAACCATAAGTCATCAGGGTCCAAGAGGAAAAGTGATGAGTTCCTACCAACACCAGACATGAAACGAAGGCGACAGTTGGAGGCGGAAAAAGTATAAAGTGCTATATTCTGTTGTGTTTGTGTGTGTAGGTCACATTTTAAAATAATGATGAGATTATTTTTAAAGGCATTTTTTTTTTATTAGAAACATTTTTTATGAAAAAGCACTTAGCATGGTAACCTAGTGACCTTTGAAGGTCAACATATGTGCAATATAAACAGAGCAGTAGTTTTCATTGTAATTTGATCTTTTTTTTTTCTTTCTAAAACTATTGAGTGTCTTTCACCTTTATAAAATAGAGTTGTCAAAGATCCATGTGGCTAGTATATTAATGCAATTGATCTGTTTTTAGCTTTTTTTTTTATTTTAAATCTTGATCACAAGATATGAGATTAGACATAAAGGTCAGCTTTCTTACAGGCCTGCTGATCTTGTTTTAGTTTTGCCATTTTTATATGAAAAATAATTCTTAAAAAAAAAAGAACATTTGTATATTTATACTTGTCTACTGTATGTCTGTAGCTTCTGTGGCTTGTTCAATGGTCAGCGCCAAAGTGAACAGCCAGTTCACTAATAAGAATGCTACAAAGTGCACACAATATAAAACTGCAATAACTGCTTTACAACTGAATGCCTTTTGTAGATTCATTGTATGTTAGATATTTAATGCAAGATATAGTGTGTATATAGAAATATGTTAATTTTGCACAAGAAACATGTAAACTTTGAATTTAATACAAATACCATACAACTATTATTGATTTATGATGATACACTATGCAATGTTATAATTCGGTCAGAATTTTTTTTTATACCTGGTAATCTATAAACTTGTTCTTTTGCCTCACTGCAATCGATTTCATCTGCATAAAAGTGTGTGTCTGTTTTAATTTATCAAATATTGATTGCTGTATATGAATGGAGCATTTGATTTCAGTAATGGATGTAAAAAAAAGTGTACCCCCTTGTCTACATAGATGCTTTGTCTGTTGAATTTCTCCTGGCAGCTATGTGAAAAGATAGTCTATGCTACTCATTTAAATCAACCATCTTTGGGATCTGGATATGTTCTACATCTATATAGATTGCTCACTTGTTTAGTGTGGAATTGTTTGATTTTCACTGTGTGTATTTTTGTTCCTGATTATCATTACAGAACCACATTTCTGTTGAGTAGATTAGGTCTCCCAATTGTTTGACATTTCACAAGCAGTTTTAAATTTTCTACATTTTCTTGCAATAAAACTCTGATTTGAGCAAGTTTTTTTTTTTTTCAAAGACAAGCAATATATGAAGTATAGTATAGTCCCAATATCTAAAACTCTATTACTATTTTTTATGTGTAATAGTATAAACAATGTTTTCTAGCAGTTTTACACACTATTAAAGATCCCATTGACCATTCAAATTAGTGCATTTATTATTTTATTTTTACTTGTAGGTTTATATTTTATAGTTCTTAATTTTGTTTTTTACTGAAATGTGTTGAGCTAAAATATTGTTATTTTTAGGACTGGTCATCTCCTATTTGAAATTTGAAGATTGAACCCATTGCTTTTTACAGTGAACAATTGACTTGTGTGATACACAATATATGGTTGTTTGGAGCAATCTACAATGCAGCCAAATTATCCCCCACCCCCCTAAAAAAAAAAATCCTTTTTTAACCATTAAAATGAAAACCAGCTAAAACAATGGATATTTGCTTTTTTCTTATAAGTTAACCACTTTCAAAAAAGCGGGAATACAGTCCAGTTGTCAAAAAAATGAAGACTGGTCATTTTAAAGCCATAAGTAATAACTGATACTGTTACTGAAAATATAGGAATAGATACAACAAATTTGATCCCTGGTTTAATACTTCCTAGTTTATTGACAAAAACAATAACGTTTGACAAGGCAAGTTTCATGTATACATAAAGATTGTCATGTAAGTGGCTGGCTTTTTAAAGGCAGCTATGTGCTCTTTAGCCATCTTCTAGATCGTTGGAACGCGCTCATTTTCGACAAGGAGAGGGTGTATATAATATAGATATTGATGTGTTTAAACCAGTGGTGCCCACCGAAATGTTGGCACGAAGAGTAAATACCCCCTCCAAAAAATAAAAAGGCTGACTTATGTATCTTTACCTAAATAAAAGATTGTTAAACTACGCCTATAGATTGGAGGATCGATAGGAATATTTACAAAATAGCGACAATAAAACGAGTCGGTAGTAAAGCTAGCTACAATGTTGCTCTGTTTTAAGTAAATTGCTTCAGATATCCAAATCCTTAATGTAAGTACTAGATCCACGGGTTTCTAATCAATTAGTTACAAATTCAGGTGAATTTAATTTTTTTTTTTTACCTTTTCATTCATGTGGCCCGCGACACGAGTGTCAGAAATTATAATGGCCTGCAGGTCGAATTAGGTTGGGCATCACTGGTTTAAACAATAACAATAGAAACATTGGTACCAAGAAAAGTGTCAGAGAAAATGGAGTGTCATAAGATGTATATAATTCTTAATGTATTCCAACAATAATTATGAATACATTGGTACCAACAAAATACTTCAGGTTTAAATAACATGACTTTTGGTCAATCAAAGCAAAGGAAGTTTACTATTCCAGTGTTTCAATTTAATTGCATATATGCTACACATCATGTTGCGATCATATAAATGCCATTGAAGGTGTAGCACAGGTTTGTGGTGCTGGTTGAACAGGTTGACTATCCATTAGTGAGGATTTCTAACAAATCAAATGATGCTCCAACTGAAGTAGATCATAATGGAACATGTTAGCTAGACAAAGGGACAGCTTGAATCTAGTCTAAAGAGAGAATCATTGATGTTATCTCTTCATTGGTAACATCTAGTTTCTTACAGCGATTCATAGCCTGGGATAATCTCATGGCTAAAACATGCTTGCACTAAAAATAAAAAAAGTAGCCATTATTAATATCTAGTTAGTGGAAACTAAGAAATCTTTCAAATAATTTATTAAAATACAACTATATCTATAAAATGAATGTTGTACAAGTTAAAATCAAATAAGCATAATGTGACTGATATAGTTAAATTTAAAAAAAAAATCTGAATATAGTACCAGTAGTTAGTTTTAAATGATATCACATTATCTTTAAAGATGAATTACTTACCATTATGTGTTCCTCTTTCTTTAAAACTATTTTAAACATTTGAAAGAAAAATAATAAGAACATGTTAGTTTTACTAGTTATTAAGTCAGTCTTTGGTAGGATATACTTCTCAGTGTAAAGAAATGAATGGCTCTTTCCCCCTACTCTGTGGGTATTCACTTTAACATAAAGCTTTTAAAACCAAATTAAACAGCCTCTGCTGGAAGGCATCTAGATCTATATCAGGTTCTGCTATGACAGCTATTAGTGTCTCATACAGAGTTTGAGTTGTATGAACAGTGTCAGTATTTGGAGCAAGATGTTTTATAAACTTACCAGAAAAATTATAAGCAGGACAAGAACAATAGTTTAAGTTGGCCAAGCACAAATAAGGAGCTCCAGATGCCCCTATTACCTGAATGAAAAAAAAAACATGGTACTCAAGGTTGTGTTGGTTGCAGATATTAGGATATAGTAATATACCAATTTGATAGTACCTGTATCAGCTGGTTTATTGCAGCTGTCATATTGATGCAGTGGACACCCTTACATTGCAGTGTGAGGGGCAATGACGTGACTGACACTCTAGCTCATGAAGGAGTGCTGGCCTTGCCCACTTTTGTGGCCCCCAAGTATGTTTAACCAGGCTTCTACTATGATCCATAGGTGGGTACATGAGAAGTGGTTGAAATCCTTGGATGGCTCTGACAAAGACCATGGAATCTGGCAGCACAATTGGGCAGTGTAGAATGGAACACTGCCTGTAGTTGCTTACTTTGCCCAGTTCCAACCAAATTTTGATGCTGTTGCTGACACTGTGGAGAAAGTGGCGTATATCTTGCATGAGTGTCAACAACTTTGAGAGCTGCAGAGTCACTAGACCTAAATGGAAACTGAACAGCAGAATTTCTTGCCAAGGCATTTCCTGTCCTGAAACCAATCTCAGGATAAGGAATGAAGATACTTGCTTTTTTCATTTTATAATAAAAGTGTGATCACAAATTGATTTTAAATTGACATGACTCAGGTAAGGAAGATGTGTTCACTAGACAACACAACACAATCTAAAAGAAAATATTAATATAAAAAGATACAAAATAATATTGGAAACCCTTCAAAGTGAATACACAGCATTTTACTGAAGGGCATCTACTATTATCTTTAACTTTGATTTCTTAACTAAATCAATGTGAATCAGAGGTTTATATAGTCTTTACCTGAAAAACTGTACGGCCAGTAGGAGAGGTCATTTTTGTTACAGAAGATTTGTCTACCAATTCTAGTGCAGACAGAAGTGTTCCATGAAAAAGACAGTTCAACCTGACACAAGGAAAGAAGTAAGAACAAAATATAAACAACTGACTTGAGAAAAAAACACACAAAAACATCCAGTCATTACCTAAAACAGTGCTACCGGTACAGTTATCTACTTTAAAAGTTTTATTTCATAAAAATAAATCTACTTAAAATGGGTGTCTTTATACAGTAGACAGTGTTTTGTGAATGACTACATATGATCAATATTAAATATAAATATAAAATATTAAACTGACACTGACTCATATTAAATGTGTGATAATTAATTTTAGTACAAATTTTAATACCTAAAAAAAGTTTGTATAGAATCCACTAAAAGATTTTTGTCAAAGAAACACTCATTTAATGTGCAATTGTGTGCTAGAGAATATAACTTATTGAAAAATGAATAAATCCTAACCGTTCTAAGAAAAGAAAAAAAACAACTTACGCACTTAATACATCATCAGACACTGTAAGAAAAATTATTCAAATTTTGATTACCAGGACTTTTCACAAGATAAAATGCATAAGCAGAGATATTAATTTTTCTTTTATGATATGAAATTGAAAAAGAAGAAAATGTTTTAGCTGTGTTCATGAATGGAAATTAAATAAAAAAAAAATCTTTTCATGTAGAAGATATGAAGATAAGGCTGAAAAAGCCTGCATATCATGAGACAAGCATTCACCTGGACCCTTCAAGGAAAGACCAAGAGCTGACGGCCCGAAAAACATGGCGCCAAGATTAAGCTACAGATGCCAAGCAGATGAAAAATCATTTTTATATACTGGTAGTAAATTCGATAACTGAATTTAGAAAAAATAAGTTAAAGTCATTGTTTGAGAAAAATAAAGGTGTTGTATTAAGAACTGTATTAGAGATCTATTAAGAACAATAACTAACCCTAACTAGGACAGAGAAAGATAAGAGAATTATGAAATAAGTTTATAATAAGAGAAATCAAGAAATAAGTTTATGAGATGAGAATCAAGAAAAAAGTTAATAAGAGACAAACAAAACATACATTTTCCAGTTTCCCCATAAGACCTCTCCACTTCCTTGAGAAGTTTTTCACAAATGTCTTCCATACTCTAGAAGAATCTAAATAAAATTGAAAAGATCTCAAATTTAAGAAGTGACTTTGATGCTGACAAAGAAGTACGATGTCCAATCCTATCGCTGTGGCTACCCGGTAAACAAATTTCTCATTACAGATATTGTCAATATTAAACATCTCTCAAAAGACAATGGGTCATATCACTGTAAAATTCTTTACTTTTGTTGTAATACAATAATACAGCAAACATACACATACAATTATTTTTGTGTGTGTGTAATGAACTACACTTTACAAATTATCATCTATATATTGTAAGATGAGATAACCAAATTCCAGTCTATGTTTAAAAAAAATTATCTGATGCATTGACCTAGGAACCTGTGTATGATTTAATCATCTTCTTTTTTAAAATTTTGAAGTAATGTCTGTATTATAAGATAACATCACATTTTATATTCTTATATTATAAATTCCAAAAATTACTTCAATAGAGAAGATAATTATGTCCTACATATTTCATTTAGTATTCTTGTCATGCATATATTGATCAGCGACAAACTTAAAGTTGGTTTTCATGGCTGATTCAAGCAACCCATTCCATGCTCTAACAGTAAAAACTCTTAACATCACTAGTTCCTAGGGAAGAAGGAGCACTTGTATGTAATTGTACACATTTGTCTAGTATATATATATTGATTATAGAATAATGTGCCTTTAGATATATTGTGTGTGTGTGTGTCTTTCTTGACTATTTTATTAGGTTTTGTATTTGTATAATATTGTTCAGTGTTTTATTGATACTTTACTTTTTTTTAAGTCTTCTGTGTTACCTGTCTCAGTCAACTCAGTGTTAGCCCTGAAATGACCATGCCACATAAAGTGATTAACCATAACGATACCAGTAACATAAAAAGTGCAGTTAAATTAAAGACTCTAGACTAGGTTGCTATGGTCAAGTATGGTGTAGATCTATATTATACTAATATTAGTAATATAGATCTAGTTAGTAGTAGTAAATTAGTAGTCTAGTAAACTTGAATCTAGATCGCCTGAGTAGATCTAGATTCTAGATCTACTATGATCTAAATCAGTGGCTCCCAAACTTTTTTTTGTCTCGTAAACCCCTTGCCATGTTTTCTGGTTTTCGGTAGACCCCCTGCTTAGCTTATATTGCAGTTTTGAAGATTCATAAACTCCATTTTTTAAACTAATTTCTAACTGCAGTGAGTCGAAGAGTGAATCAGTAATTTAAAGCAACATCATAAGTTAGAGAACTCTATCTTTTTTAATGATAAAATTCAAATTTAAACCAATTAAAATAACAATTAATATGTATTGCTAGAATCACCTAACACACTGGAAATGATTTTTTTTTTTGCAGGTTTAACATCCGTTGCTACCGATATTATGCTTCATATAAGAATTTGTTGTTATATGAAGTAGTCCTTCAAACATTAATTCATTAATTTGCCTTGAGTATCATTGTAAAAGTTTTCGCAAAGAGCAGTTTCTCATGTATTTCTTGATCTTTCACGTCTGGCTCAAATATTTTCACTAACAGGAGAAGGGTCAAAGGTGAGTTACTGGCGCCTAAACCAGAAAGCTTCGGGCAAGAGGGACTCATAAGCCTTGGCTTGCAGCCAACCTAGCAGAAGGAAAACAGAATTCAAACCTCTGCTGCTTTATAGCCAAACATGAGAAAGGTTTCGTGGGTCAGCCCTGGGGAAAAATATGGAGCCAACGATCATTAGGCAGTTTGCAGCTTTAATGCTAGAACTCTTCCTACCAATGTACCCTTGAACTGTAGTGTTGCCTAAAGAAATACGTTTCATAGAATTAGATGAAGGTTTGTGTAAAAAAATTTAAAACTACTTCAAAGGCTGGTAAACTCAATGTTTTATCGAATGTGTTTTTCGTATTTGGCTATAGGTAAAGAGATCTTGTAAGACGCTCACAAACCACAATCTTTTCTATATGATGTTCATCATGTTGAAGAAAGATTTTGTGGATCTATTCTGAACTTTATCTTTGAGTTTTCGAAATGTTTTCACACCTGTTTCTTTTTATCGTCTCAAAATAATCCTCCAGTGTAATTAGTTTCATATGCTATGATGATCATGATGATATGGACTTTTTATGGTCATATAAAGTTAATAAAAAGCAATTAATTAGACAA